TGTGTGTGTGTGTGTGTGTGTGTGTGTGTGTGTCTGTGCGCACGCCTGTGCCCTGATCAGGCTAAGACAGAGGACAGCAAACTACAGCCTCCTGATTTCATAGGTGAAGTTGCAGCAGCCGTGCCCGGGAGCTGAGTTCTCCACGGCAGAGTGCCGTCCGTGACCAGTCCTACAGCCTAAAAGATCTCCCGCCCGGCCCTCTCAGAAGTGTGCTGGTCCTGTACCAAGCCAGCGTCTGTAAACTTCGAGTCCAGACCCACCAGTGAGTCATTCAGCATCAGACTGTAGAGAGGTGGGGTAATTGTGACACTTGTTTTAACGTGTTACGTGTACATGTGTGTTTAGACCCGGTCATGGTGTAAAACGTATTTCTTACTGTGGGTAGTGGTTTATGTAGCAAAATTACTTTTGCACTTAAGCTTCAAGCAGTGAGTCCCCCGCTAGAGATCTCCCCCAGAGACACGCTGGCAAAATACGAAGAGATGTACGTAAGGGGATATTCATCACAGCACTGTTGGTAACGGCACGAGTGGCCACCCCGGTCTCGTTCCTCATCTTTTCCCCACGGAGTATGATGCGAGCTGTGGGCTTGTCCTGACGTACGTCCCCTCTATACCCACTTCGTTGAGAGTTTTATCAGTGGACGCCCGAATACTGTCAAATGCCTTTCTGCAGCTACTGAGATGACCGTATGATTCTTTTTTCTCATTTTCTTCATGTGGTATATCGCACTGATTGGTTCGCGATTGTGGAACCACCCTGCACCCCTGGGATAAATCCCACTCGATCACGGTATACAATCCTTTCGATGTATTGCTGAATTTGGTTTGCTAATGTTTTGTAGAGGATTTTTCCATCTTTGCTCATCAGGGATACCAGCCTGTGATTTTTTTTTTTTTTTTTTTTGTAGCGTCCTGGTCTGGTTTTGGTATTGGGGTGAAGTTGGCCTCACAGAATTTGTTTGGAAGTGTACTCATCTCCTTCATTTTTGGAAAAGTTTGAGGTTAGGTATTACACCTTTGCGTGTTAGTCACCAGTCAAGCTGTCTGGTCGTGGACTACTGTTTGCTGGATTTAACCTCCCTAGTAAATTGGTCAGATTTTCTACTTACGATACACTCTCGGGAGACTGTATGTTTCTAGGAACGTCTGCTTCTCCTTGGTTGTCCAATCTATGGACAGAATTGTTCGCCATAGTCTCTAACGCTCCTTCGTATTTCTGTGGTGTCGGCTGCGATTTCTCGTTCACTTTTGATTTATTTGAACCCTGTCTCTTTTTTCCTTGGTGAGTTTGGCTGAAGGCTTGTCAACTTTGCTGATCTTTTTCAAAGAACCAGCTCTTAGTTTCACTGATCTTTACCACTGTCTTTTTAGTCTCTATTCATTTCTCCTCTGATCTTGAGTACTTCCTTCCTTCTACTAACTTTGGGCTCTGTTTGTTCTTTTCTAATTCTTTTGGTGGAAGGTTAGGCTGTTTGAGATTTTTCTCATGAAGTCAAGTATTTTTAAATCTGGGAGGAGGGGAAATTCATGACACTTAAACAAAACAACACAACAAAAACCTCTTGATTACTTTTGGAGAAGTGAGCTGTGTCAGCGGTCCCCCAGACCAGCTCCTGGTTAGACCATGACTTGCCAAGAAACCCACGGGACTGGGTACACAGCTGCAGTCGCAGCTCTCATTTACTACAGGGAAATGGACGAAAAGTGCAGAGGAAACCATGCACAAGCTGTCAAAGGGCCTCTCCCCATGGAGTCACACAGGATACACTCAGGTCCCCCCCGCAAGGAGGGGGGACAACACATGTGAAATGTCCACCAGGGAAACTCACTGGACACCCAGCATCCAAGGTTTTATTTGTGCCTGTTCGTGTAGGCACCTGCTTCTCAGCATGTGCCAAGATTTGGGGTTCCCTGGAATGGGAGCAGGTGTCTTGCAGAAATCACGCTATGCACACAAGGTCAGGCCTGGTGAGATGCCCTTCCATCTTGCGACTGTTGGCGGCCCTTCCGAAAGTCAAGTTCTCAGATGCCATCCAAGGCCCCAGTCTTTTATAGGGACAGCAGCCTCTGACCTGTTTTAACTCTTTTTCTACACCCCCCCCCCAAACTTAGCCAAGCTGTTGCAGCAAATATTACCAAAGGACCCTACACAGCAGGGTGAGGCCAACCTGGAGTTTTGATTTCAGTCACACCTTTTAGGGCTCCTGGACCTAGCCAGTTAGAGCAAACCCCACTAAAGCAAACCCGTAAAGGCTGACTTTAGAAAGCCGAGTGGCTTCCACCTGAGTTTTGATGGGAACCCTCTTCACCCGGCCCGAGGTGGGGTCACGAGAGGGCACCCACACAAGAACCAATCCCAGCGGGCACACGTGACACCCCCAGAATGGGAGGTTTACAGTGTGAGGCCCCCAAGCAGGGCACGCATGGGTCAGGCAGCACCGGTTGCAAGGCCCCCAGCGTGCTTCCTCACTGGCAGTGAACACCGTGGGACTCGCTCAGGGATGAGGATTTTTGTCCCCCCAAAGCCGGTAGGCTGAAATCCTAACCTCGAACTTGACCGCTGGTGGAAGTGGGGAGCCTGGGAGGTGGGCGGGTCATGAGGGCCCAGGCCTCACAAATAGGATTGGTGCCCTTACCAGGGATCTGAGAGCCCCTCACTCCTCCCGCAACCCGAGGCCAAGGCAAGAAGCGGCCTAGGACCTCACTAGAAGGCTGCATCTGCCAGCGCCTGGATCCTGGACATGAGAAAGAACGGTCTGTTGTCTCTTAGCCACCGGGC